ATTTCATGTGATATTCTATGATGTTTGGAGTAAATCTTTTCATATCCTAAAATAGAATCTCGGGGTTTACAATAAACACTGTGATGTTGGGAAACATTTTATTTGAGCAATGTTTGGTAGATTTTTTTTCCCCCTCCTCTGAGTGTAATGAAGCAAACCAACTTTTGCTTAACATTTAAGATAATGGTTATTATTTTAATGTGAGATCAGTCTTGTACTGCACATTCTTTCTTTCATTTAAATGTACAGTATGAATTTTGTATTTAATGAATTTTGTGTATCCAGTATGCACGTACCTGCACATTGACTTTCATTTGAAAGTGGGTTTCAATTTCCTTTTTAAACAGTGTTTATGAAAAGACCTCAGATGTGTTGACACAAACTATATCCGCAATGTTTCTTTTGTGTGTGTAGGGTGACGTTTGAATGTGATGTTCTGCAGCAATGGGTCAGTATCCCCTATTTACCTTAGATCCTCATTTGATAGTGCTTCTTGTAATAATTTTTTCAAGTGAGTGGCATGTTCTGGATTGTGATATTGATATATGGTTAAGGACATTGATATGAAACTAAGGAATTCCTAGAAATTACCAGTGGGCATGTATTAGACAGTCATTGTAATTTAATGTCTTGTAGAAGTGTAAAGTACCAAGGTATTTAGAGTTCATAACATTGTTATCATGTGTATGGGAAGTATTTAGTGTTGATCAGCTTGTTTATTTTCATCAAATAAACTTTGTTTCTTTCTGAAAATGGTGTTGTGTCATTAAAAGCAGGTTTAATGACTGTAGGAAAATGTGTGAGAGATGTTTTCCACATGGTAAATCTATCACACTCCTTATTTCTCTAATTGCTACCATTCAAAGTAATTTATCTTCCTGTTGTTACTATCACATAAACTGTTTAAGAAAGCATAAAAAGGAAAATGTCTCATAGGCCCCACTCCCAGAAATGCTTATGAGCAACTTTACTAAAATGAGGAGCCATTTTCTGGACTGGGCTCTTACAGAGCAATATGCTTTTGAGTGGGTTTCTAAAACATAATATTCTTGTGTGACCCTGTGTAATTGCATAGAAAATTACATTTTGTTTATGTGCTTTACTGACCAAAAGCCATAAGGTGTGAAATTCTCTGCACAGTCAGCTCCTTTTTCAGCTGCCTGGTAAGTGGTTCCCCATTTCCATTATGTTCACTTTTTTTAGAAAAGGAACTTTTGTTGACCAGGAATTTCTTACCTCATAGAAGTCCCTGGACCAGCTCAGGGCACACACAGCAGGAGAATAAAAGGTAAGTAAGTATGCATTTTACTTAGCTTATTTAAACCACACAGTCTCTTAGTTTTAAGCTCTGTTTCTTTACCTATAAATTAGTTTTCTTTCGTTAAAAAAAAGAAACTATGCACTAACATAGGATATTAAGTTTCACTTTTAACTACAGCTAAATATACATTTGTTGTGTATTCTATTTATGCCTACTAAGCTTTGAGCTGCAATGGTATAAATTGAGTGGTAGTAGCTTCTATCTCATTTCCAGACCTGCACAGTTATTTGGAGCAGCTTGTTCTGTGTTCTACTGGTGTCTGCGTTAGGGGGCTGCCCATCCCATTGGAGACACATTTTTGATTTTATTTTCAGTATTGATCACATCCTGCTTCCCCACCTGGTGATAGGTGTGACAGTATGTGCCAATGTGTCTTACTAAGGAGCTGAGAGGACCACAGTGGGTTTAGGGAACCTGTCAAAGGCCCTTAAAGCCTATTTTCTGTAAGATGGTTTTCAATCAGGATCTTTCCTCTGTTAAAAGCATCTGTGAGGGCCCCAGGAGAGGGCCAGGACCAGACCATGTTTGTGTCTGTGGGCGCTGCAGAGCTGTGGGGGAGCTCCCCAGAGGGCAACTCTGGGTGCAGGAACATCTACACTAATTTTGAAGTTTGAGTTCATACAGTCAAGAGCTCCTCCAGCTCTGAAAGAGCCTGATTAAGGACCAGGCTTTTCTGAGCTTGAGGTTTCCTCCCCAGAGAGGCTGTTCACTCCAGACTTGAGCCAGAGTAGCTCCAGGTTTGAGCAAGCAGAAGTATGAGCAGTGTGGGATGCTCAGGGGATGAAGCTGTGTCAGCTTGCACTTCAAGCCAACATCTCAGTTAAGACACATTTTGAGAGTCCCAAACAGCTCCATGCCAGCATGAGCTGGATAAAGCTGAGCTCTTACTGCATCCCAGGTTGTTCACATTGTGCTCAAGGTCCAGGATTTGTTCCTGGAAGAGCCTCACTAACCAGCACACTCTGGGTCCTGCCCCGTGCAGAAACCTGTCCCAAAGTACAGAACAGAGTGGCAAAGAAGGGCGTGTCACCTGTTGATACTCCTTCTCCAAACCACAAAACTTTTAATAACCAAAGTATTAAATCATTCTAAATAAAGCCAAGTGAGCTCCAAATAAGTAATGCATTTCCCATTATGAAGTCAGTGGGAGCTCTGCACATCGCCAGGGCATGATTTGACCCACAGATGAAAAGTACAGCTGATGAGGGGCTGCTGTGCAGATTTTCTCCTGTGAGATTACAGCGATGTTATTTCATGCTCATAACTTTCCAAGTAAGATATCTCTTTTTCAAATGCACCTTTGCAACCTCTGCCTTCATCAGGAACAGCCCGGGGCACATTGTTTCAGCTTTTGTATGAGGCTGGAGGCACTGGTGCACTAGAAGCCCACCCTTGACGGATGCAGTTACAGAATCAAGGACCAATTTTGTTTGGGTTTGCATTCCTTCCACTCTTTGCTCTTGAAAATTACTCTTTCTTCAGAAGGAGACTGTTCTAACCCCAAATCTCCACAGATGCAGGGGAAGAGCAGGCACAGTGCCAGTGCATCCTAAAGACAACGCACTATATCCCTTTGAAACGTGCACTCGAATCTGTGTTACAGACAGTTGTCTATTCCCACGAAGCTGCGAGTCCCAGGACAAACAGGAGAACTTTGAACCCATCCAGTTTCAGATGGAGGCGAGTGTCCAACTTTAAACAGGCCGTGCTTTTGGTGCTCACCCCAGCAAGGCCAGGAGACAGCAGATGTTCTGGCAGCTGCAGCTGCCGTGCACTCGGGGAGCTGGGCTGGAGGAGAGCAGCCAAGCTGCCTCCAGATGGAGCAGACAGGGAAGAGGCAAGTGGGAGGCTACACAAGGAAGTCAGATAGCTCCAGATAGCAATGGACTGATGATATGTGGCTCCAGAGCACCTAACCAGCTTCACAGAGGCTGCACAAGAGAAATCAGCACCAATCCACAGCTAACCTGGATTAACAGTGGGAAGCCTTCTTGCCGTGGGAAAATCGATAGGGAGGAAATATCTGTGCAGAACACATGATAATGGAGCATGGTAACTACTTTTTATTTGAATGTAATTTGGACAAATGCATTACTCATAAGTGAGTTATCCAGGGCTTGCCAAATATGTGGTTAAGCAGTTATTATAGCAAATTACACCATCATCTAAACACCTCTGTTTTGGCTCTTAGTTGACTCCTTTTGCAATGAGGTTGTATTTTTTTTTCTTGATTGTTGTCTAATATTGCTGTTCTTTACTGTTTTGGTTACCATAGAAATAAATGATGACACAAACAAAAACATGCATATGAGTGAATAAGAGCATTTTCTGAATTTCACAAGTAGAACACTCTTGTTAATGAAGATCTCTATGGTTGCATAGTTCTTAACGTAGTTCTCATGTCTATTGATTCTTGTCCTCATATGCATTTTATTATGGGCTTTATATTTAATTTTAAACTTCCAAAAATAAAGAAAAACAGCTGAAGTACATTTTTTTAAAATGGCCAGATTTTGGTTAGAGGTTAACACAGGCCAAAAGAGAACACAGATCTGCCCCCAAGCTCTTGCAGTTTTGT